CTAGCAGCCTGAACTCTATCTTCTCCGTCATTAGCACTACAGTCTTTCCTCAAGGATAATTGTATCTTGACTTCCAAACTGATTCTTCTGCTTGTAAATTTTATAAGTTAAATCATAGAGTCTTGCTTTGTTTGTGAGTTTTCTTCCTTGTTGTACATAAGAATTATTCTTTTGTTTTCATTGTATAGTATCTCATTATAGGAAATCATAGTCATTTATTCATTTTACTCCTGGCAGACATTTTGAATTATTCTGATTTTGGGGCCAAAAGGAATAACATTACTGTGAAAATATGTTTTGAATCTATGAATCCTCTTTGGAACTCCTGGATCATAAATTACACATATGTTCATTTTAGTACATACTGCCAAAGAGTTTTCAAAGAGAGTGGACCAATTTATACTCCCTCTGCAATGAGTATTTTTGCAGTTGCTCCTAATGTTCATCAACCACTGTGGTAATGTCTAGAATTGTGAAATTTCTCTCTCCTGTCCCTGACCCTCTGCATTTTCCTTTCATTCACTTTGTCTAGTACCACACCTAGATGATATCTTTGTAAAATCTGATGGGTTAATAAATAAATGAACACTAAGCACCTATTTGTTTGCTATTGTATTTTCTTGCCACTTCTTAGGCATGATAAAGTGATGGCTACAGGCATAGATGGACTTTAGGGCCAGAATGTCATGACTTGGCTTCTGACCTTACCACTCAGTAACTAGTAAATTACCTCTCTGTGCTAATTTCCTCACTTTTGACATCATAGTATTGTTATGGAGATTGAAAACATTGAGCATTAAAATTCTTAGAACAATGTCTAGGATTTTGAAAAAGCTCAGCAGGATTAGCCACTGTCCAATCCTTAAAGCCCACATTTCATGAAAGTCCCTAGAGCTAGAACCACTGAGTAAGAATCCAAGGGCACTTGCTATCCCTGACCCCCCATACTTCTGAGGTTCCCTGTTCTCACACTCACCTCTGCCAGATGCTACGGTACATAGTGCTGTGTCTTCCGAAGAAGACAGCAGATTCCCTAAAGACAGAAGTATTCTTCATGGTAACAATAGTTTTAGTTACATACTAACTTACGGGTATTTTAACTGAGTGAGTTCACCCCAAGCCCATATTTGAGCAGACCACAATTGGAGAGCTATGGGGAAGTGAGTGGTGCCTCTTTCAATCATCACATGCCAATGGCTAGCTTTGTCTCGGAGTACACTGGAAGCAGTTTTCTACTCCCTTAGATGAATGATAACACTGCACGAGTGTTATTTCACAGCGCACAGTTTAGTCAATATTTGTCATCTGTCTATTGACCCTTGTTCTTTCTTGACTTCCCTGTTCTTACCTTGTTCCCTTCACACCCACTTGTGCTTTTGAACTCATCTACTACATTTGTTTGACAATACTCAGAACTCCTCTGGGACCCATCAGGGACAAATCATAGGCGGACTGTATCTAGGGATGGGCTATAAACCTATAAACAGATTTGTACCTTTAAAAGGTAGAACACACATACACACACAAACAAAATAAAAAATAAAAAGTAGAACAACTTCATAATCCAGGACTGACCTAAGTAATCTATGATGAGATGGTAGATTCCTAGCCTGCAAGAGCTGTGTTCAGATCCAACTGTAGTTTATGCTTTGTTCGAGGTGGAATTCGTAACTGTTACTGACGATGAGAATGAAAATAGAATATGGAGAACATCTCCCCATCAGAGCTGGCATCAGTCTTCCCTGGGAAAAGAGATCTTTTGGATTCTGTTGTTTGGTTTGGAGGAGACTTAACAGGGAGCTGATGCCTGCAGAGCAGGAACTTACCTGAGAGCCTGACCTGTGGCCACCTGAGCAGGAAGCTCCCTTCTCTAAGGGATTATGAGCCCACTAGGTCATCTCCAAATATCCACCCAGCCCTCAGAAACAATGGTGCTGGGGGAAGAGAGAGAGAGGAGCCCAGAGAGGAGCCAGGAGAGTTTCAAGTCTTAAGAGGAAAACAAGGCCACAGCCTTCCCTTGTGGAATTCCTGGGAAAGTTGGGAGGTCAAGGTAGCCTGGAGGCAGCAGGTTTAGGTATCCAATAAGTTAAGAAGACAGCTAGGTCAACTATTTGAGGACTCTTTCTTTGATAGATATTTGGAATTTCAGTTTTGGTTTTTGTATTTTGTGACAGGGTCTCACTATGTAATTCCCGCTGGTCTTGAATTCACTGTGTAGCCCAGGCTGGCCTCAAACTTACTGTGATTCTCCTGTCTCTGCTTACAGAGTGCTGGGATTACAGGCCTGTGCCCCCATGCCTGGCTTTTTGCTAGATATTTGTGTGAAAGGCCTAGCAAGTGAGAAAGCCCAAACAGTTTGGATTTGAGTTGATCTAACATTGAGCCCTTCTCCCACACCATAGACCTGGCTGGATGAGCCCTGGGGGTGGATTCACAGACCCAGTGCCTGTGGGGCCCTTAGAAAACTTATTTGCTGGTTTCAAGAGGCTTTGATTAAGGCCAGGAATGCGCTCCTGCTGGGTCCCTTTCCCAAGCCTGCTCTGGGTACTCCCGGGAAGTGGAAATCTGGCCAAGTCAGCTTTTTGGGAACGTATGCATTCCTTACAAACATCCTTAAGCTCTTTAGTGGTGTTCTCCTGCACTTGTGGACTATTACCTGGATTTCCTTCTCACCAAACTGCTTCAGAGTTTACCTTTCCCATCAAGATCTGTTAAGGACTGTCTCCTTCACTCACCACCCTGTCCCCAACACTCAGAACGCAGCTTGGCCCTGGGGGTGCTGTCAAATATTTGTTAAAATAATTACCCCTTACTTAAAACAATCCCAATGTCAGGACAAACAGTCCAACTTCACAGGGCAGCCACTAAGTCTAGGGAACATTATTTCACGTGTGACTTTGTAAGATGAATATATGGAAAAGGATTTGTTTGGATTAACGACACAGTAAAATACCTCTGAAACAATCTGGGGGTGCACGCCTGTAATTCCAGCCACTTGGGAGGCTGAGTCAGGATGATTGTGAGTTCAAGGCCACTCTGGGCAATTTAGTGAGACATTGTTTCAAAATAAAATTTAGAAAGGGCCAGGAATGGAGCTCAGGAGTAAAGCACTTGCCTAGCTTGCCTGAGACCCTCAATTCAAAAAATAAAATAGCCGGACTGGGTCATGCCTGTAATCCCAGCACCAGGAAGGCTGAGCAAGATTGCCCTGAGTTTGAGGCTAGCCTGGACTATATGGTGAGTTCAAGGCCACCGTGAACTACAGAGCAAGGCCCGGTCTTTTCTGAATAAAATAAAATAGGCCTGGAATATAGGCTTTCCTTTTTTTCCTGTGCTGGGATTCAGACTCAGGGCCGCATGCATGGCAAGCCCCCTACCACTGAGACATACCCCTAACCCAGGCTGGCCTCTGATACTGTCCTGGAGTCAGAAGCTGCTGCTATTGGAAACAAGTCACTGAATTAGAAATTTTAGGCCAGGCCTGGTGGTGCACACCTGTATTTCCAGCACTCGGGAGGCTAAGGTAGAGGACTGATGAAAGTTCAAGCCTAGCCTGGACTGTTTAAAGAGACCCTGTCATGGAAGAAAAGAAAACTTTTTTACAGCAGCATTTTAATATTTTAAATGGACCCATTGTTGCTCTCTTCACCAAAACAAAGTAACACATGACACAATTTACGTAAATATTTTCAAGGTTTTACTGCAAACCAGAATTGGCTTATCACACACACAAAAAGTTGTGTGAGGGAGGAGGGATTGTACATATTATAACCATGTTAATTACAATACATTAAAATGGTGGTTTACATTACAAATAAGCCTGTAAGTTTAAATATACTAGTGTTATAACCCAATGTACAGACTTTCTTTATACAATACATACAATTATCAGAAATGCAAAAAAAAAAAAAACACAAACAAACAAACAAACCCCAAAACATAAATAATGCCCATTTTACAGGTGACATTTTAAACAATGAAAACACCAATGGCTGTGACTGACATCTAGGGCATTGGTCCATAAAAACCCTTTCTAAAAATAGAAATATTTGTAGCAGCAATGCCGTCTTTAAGCATCTGGATGCAAGTCATTGCAAGACCATTTCAATAAATTTTAGTTAATAACTATATCTTACAAAAAAAAGTTTACACACAAATTTATCTTCCAAATATGGAAGAAACAAACAATGTCCCACATTGTAGTGTCCTGCAAGTGTCACATTGATGCTTATAACAAAATCCATCTGCGACCAGGCATACCACACT